TTGGTACTTCGTTCAGTTGCAAGAAGCATTTGCTTACTTGATGGGATTTTTAATCAAGTTTTGAACAGATGAGTGATCTATATATAAGTTAAGGAGGGTAGTTTGGTCCCTCCCCACTTAGAATTTGAAACGACTTTCAACAAGTCAAGTGCCTTCAGACATTTAGTTTTAAAGGAGTTTAATGCGACGACCAGAAACGTTATGATATTGAGGTGAAACATCGTCTGATTCAAAGGCAATGTAGCGTTGCGTATCATTCGCATATATGTGGAAACCAATGAAATGTCTCCTGATAATGTCACCAATGGGAGAATGAGACTGTGCACAGAAGGGGCCGAGAACTGATCCCTGGAGAACACCATGTAACAATGCTGACTTTGATGATTGAGCATTTCCGATTTTGACAGATTGTGTGCGGCCTCGCAAATGAAGAGATCCACTTGAGGCCAATTTCCTGTTACACCAATGTGATGTTTAAGTCGTTGCAGGGAGTAAGGTATGATCCTATGGTATCGAATGTCCACACACATCCATGATATCAGAGCAGTGGTAACACGTCCCGCACAGTACAGTGTCTAAACCAAGAATGGCTTTACACCCAACGACTGTAGTCTCTAGGGTTTACAAAGACCCATTCTTGTCGTAAGAGGCGACTAACGGCATGTAGAGTAACCTATGTGTCACATGATGTCGAATAAGTGTCATAAACATGGACATAAGATGGTTTTATGTTTTGAATTTGAGAGTAAAACTTTTAAAATGTTGAGTAAAGTGAAAGGTTTTACAGGAAAACACATATTTCTTATTCAGTAATATATATGACAAATGCTAAATCATTTCATCACTGAACAACCAATATACTTTAGATATTCAGTGACCATCAGTCCCCTCAACTGCTTACTATTTCCTGTATTTAATTCCGGTCTTGTCTCCCTACATAACGTCAGCATACATTCAACATCACATTGACAATTATCCATGCCATGTACTCATGATTACAGTCTTTAAACAGCGGAAGCTGACCGTATGTGACACTACACCACGCTGAAAGAAAATTATCACCAACCATGTACACATGATTACAGTCAGGCAGCCACACACAGGAAGCTAAAGACATCAACCCTCCTAGGTCCGCACCAACTGTCACCTACTTGAACATATCTGTACACGCATAAGCATAAGTGATACAAATGACAGCATTAAATGCTTAAATGGTGGTCAGATTTAATGACTGGATGCTGGTGCTTTTAACAAACATAACACCTTACACTATTTCATCAATCACGGCTGTCACATGTCTCTTCAGTGACGGCTCAGTGAGCAAACGATTCTGCTGTTAGTACTGACAGTGAGTACATAGACAGCATATACGGGGGGCCCACATGGATTTAACAGCTACAATCGTTTATTGTTCACAGATATCGAAACATTAAGACTTGTTCCTTGTTAGCTGACAGCGTATTTTAACCAGGCTTGTGATTTGACAAAATGCGCTCTGATATTTTACCTTATAAATGGCAGCTAAATTTCCCCTCATTGTGTGAGATTAATTCTTCGTTGAACCAGAGACCATATAATAGAGGGACGGCCCTCCCCAACAGTTTATCACTAACCATCAGCGCTCCGGCCTGGCATGTAACTGATACACATCGACACCCTGCTGCTAACTTCCCTCTACCGGTACACATGCGCAACAAATGCGCAGACATTCGCAAATGAAGCACTCTGGTAACCACGTAAACAATATTGCGTAATATCCGGGTCGAGGAGTTAATTCCCTTAGCGGTATTTCACCGGCTGCGTTTGACAGTTAAGCATTACATGGACAGCTCCATTAAACTGATTACAATAATCTTAATTGTTATCTTCTCTCATTTGCACATGTCAACTGACAACATCGCAGAACATGTATCATTCGCGAAATGCGTGTCGTCATAAGCCTGGAATATTTGTTTCAACATTCGGCATGGTCATGGATGACTTCATTCATTCACTGGGATGATTCCGACTTGGACCTCGATACTTACTTGGAGAATTCACAGACTCCGACAGGACAGAGAATATAAACCAAAATACAAAATCAAACTAACCCAGTCAGGTAAAGGCAGTTTTAACATTACAGTTGCCAAATATCCCCGATGCTCGCTAAACGTATCATCACATGGCTAATCCAAGATTTACTTGCAAGTATTCGTTGGCACAAAACGAGGGTGTGGTCAAGCAGTCGATGAAAGTAAAATTCCCGCGAATATATAAAGAATGTGCAGATTTGCAAGCGTTAGCCAATCAGAGGACTTGCTTCGACCACACCCTTTTGTGTGCGGACATATCGTCATCCATTTGTGTCAAGATCGTTTAGTTGAGAGTCAAAATTGGTTTTCAATCGACTTGCAGAAATAACAATAAAATTGGTAGGTGTCATGAGTGTTGCTCGATAGGCCAATCATCTATGATTATGTTTACATAAAGTTTTTAATCGATTGCATGCGATGGTAGCGTAGCGATCGGCAACACCAGTCGGGTAGGAGTGCACCCTAGAAGTGTCCGGCCTTGTCATTATGTATTGTACTGTGAAGCATTTTGAGTCGGGGTGTCATCTCCAAAACAATATTATTAAAATCCATGAATCCTCGGAAAGACACGAGGGCCTGTGACTGACTGGTGTTTATTATAAAGTTTATAGTCCCAACGAAACACGATTTCACATTTTCCAAGAGCGTTAATGTGTTTATAATGCCAGTTTGGGGCTAGCAGTGATTCTGCTTCGGGCCGTATGGAGACACTTGTTGTTTTTTTCAAAGGGAAGCCACTAAATACTAAAGTCACTTGCCTCCGAGCCCATGAAATATATGTGTTAAATGGGCTGTACTACATTCCCCTATCAATTAAAAAAATTCAGCAAAGTGTCAACTTTAACTTGGCAGGAAAATGCAACCAATATCATTAAAACACAACATCACACGTTCTTATATGTACAATGTATTTATTGTAGGAATAGGACCATAGATCTATATGTATTACTAAATTCAACCATTTAGATATTCTTTCATTCTTTCATTAAAAAAACACAGTAAATGTGAATTTCAACTGTTGCAAATAAACTCTAAACTGAATTTGAAATTAAAATTATGCAATAGTTGGTTGCCAATGCTCTTTCAAACAAGGTATATCTACTTAATCAAGATGGGAATATTGTACTTAATAGTAGGCTCTTTGAGTAGCCCTACCGATGAAAACTTTCTTTTCCTGGGCATCTACAAAACCAATGATAATTTTTGATATAAATATAATGTTGAATAATGAGTTCATTTTTCATTTTTTGTTGTTGCATAAGACAGGCTGTAGGTACTGTCTAAGCCCAGGTAAACTCATAATCAAACTTCTTTAGGAAGAATAATGATAACAGAAAAATATATTAATTGTAGTCATGATAAAATAAAGGGAAGATGATAACTTATAAACTTCCTGCAACACAACCTGCATAGTTATGTTGTTCATTTTAGGACTGATTGTGAATGTAAAACATAAAATCATACAAATCTGAACACAATCTTAATATGACTTCATTAACAGATATTTTAGATATCCATGAAGTGAACTGTACATTGGATTTTAATTTCCATAATTTCTACTCATGTACTTTATTACATGTTAAATTATTAGGCAGATATTGTTGAAATAGCTCCTTCACTTATGTCTGCACCAACTGGAATCAAATCTGCAAATCTGTGTTCATAATTGTGCCAACGCAAACATGGTATGTAGACAGTTTTGATAAAAATTTCTTCATATCTCTTAGAGTGGGGAAAATGCAGATAAACCAATCCAGAATTCATGATTTGGGCCAAAGTCACGTCGATGTGCATATACTAGTATTGCTGATGTAAAGGATGGCTTGATGACTACTGAAAGCTGGACTGAGCCTACGTCAGTCATAAAATTGCACAATACTAATGTTTTTCACGCTTGTTCCTTGAAATTGTAAAATTGCCTAGCTCATCTACATGAGGCTCCTTTTTAATGTTAAATATTGCTGGTATCGCAGGATGTCATCAACAAATTCATCTTCATTGTTGTCCGGATGATACTGGTGAATTGTCAATGAAATAAACCCAAAGAATTCATCAGCCGAACAACCATCAGAATCTATCACTTCTTCCAGGCATGGGGGAATTTGTGGGTTCATCGGTGAGGTCAATGAAGAATGACTTCCATGCTTTGTCCCACAGTGCATCTCTTGAACTGAAAATGGAGTTACACAATATTAATATTAAAAAATAAATTTGAAGTGTTCTAAATAGTTGTTAAAATTATGCAATAGTTGGTTGCCAATGCTCTTCCAAACAAGGTCTAGTTACTTACTCAAGATGGGAATATTGTATTTAATAATTTACACTATACCGTTGTTTTACATAAGAAAAGAAACAATATTAATATTTGATTATACAATTGCTTTGATATTTTAAACTTATTTCTGCAGGTACCAGATATACAAGTACCAATAACTACAAAATATCAACACAAAATTACTCATTTTTTTTCTTTCAAAGACATCATTTGTGAATTTCTTACTTCCATTATTACTTACCTGCAATCGTCGAGAACAGTTGATTGAACTGATGAATAAGAATGTCAGAGAGAGGAAGAACTGACACCTTGTTGTCTCGGACCCCACTTTGAGTAGCCCTTCCGGCGACTGCCGATGAAAACTTTCTTTTTCCTGGGCATCTGCCAAACAAATGATAATTTATTATATAAATAGTGTAATGATATAAATAAAATGTTGATTCATTGTTGCATAAAGTCAGGCTGCTGGTACTGTATAATAATATAATAATATATAGCAATATAACTCTAACTTCAGTAGGAAGAATAATGATAACAGAAAAATATATGAATTGTTACATGATAAATATGGACCTTTTCCACAAATATAATCATCAAAATGAACAATAATGGAAATATGTACTTTTTTCAAACGATCAGGTGAATGAGACTTTTGTAGAATGATTTAAATATATATTCACGTTATATTAATGAACAAAATGAATGTTATGTCGTCTGCTACATGATAACTGAAATGTTCAGTATACGACGCAAATATGGGTTTACGCCAAAAATCATAAAAAATAAAATACCGATCGTAGCCATATAAAAAGTGTACCACGCAAAAGAGGAAATCGCCGTGAATGTTCACGTTTATTTTAAACATGCTAGTAATAAGCTGTTCTTGTGAAAGCGTGCGAAAATCAAGTGTTGTGGAGTAAAATATTTCGGAAAACATCATATTTCATCGCATTGCACGAGCCAAAATAAGGAATGACGCGAACGCCACAGACTTATAAATGCCCCTATACAAATCTTTATCTTATTTTCTTTCATTACACCCTGGTAACTAAGGATTTGCATTCAGAATTAGTATCCGTTATTGAAAATCAAAATCGGGACTTTTGCCGATTTTACACTTCCGCCATTGTTCTCCACAGAACGACGAGCACACATGACAGTATTCATCAAATACAAAGACAAATAATGCTTTAGCACCCCTTATACACCTCTAATGCACTGTTGCAAATGTAATTTTATGCATGAGAATACATGAAAAAATCAAATCTCACCTTTGCAATGAAAATACGCGAAATCGATGATTGAAGTCAACACTCGTTTTCGCCAGCTTCCCAGATAGGCTGCGCAGTACAAGCCGTAGCGCTGATGGTTTTGCGCACTGGCTAGAGGGGCGTCCCTCTATTATATGGTCTCTGGTTGAACACTGTGCCTGAATAACATTATTTTCCCTACTGCCACATGCCCTCTCTGCAGTGCTAAAGCCCTAAATAAAGCAGGTCTAGATTTCCTCAGGTTCTGAATCTCTTGTGTACTTAGGGCTTCTTTTCAGGGAGGGTGGGGCTCAACAATCGTTTAGGTCACACAAAGGTCACACCTATGTTACGTCATAAAAAGAAAATGGCGGATTTGAGGCTCAAGCAAACACCCCCTTCCCCCCCTCCACTCTACCCTTACAACAGTCAAATACCACTTCCTCTGATTAGTTATTTATTCTGTACGATCAAATGCTATATATAAAAACATTATTACTGAAAGTATTGGAGATATACATGGTTGACGAATAATAACAACACAATAACATACATTCAAGGATAAATCAATATTACAGAGTTTTGTATTAACATCTCATTTAGGTACGACACACATGACGTCATATTCATATTTAATACATTACATTATAAATTCTTGAAACTCTTAGCAGACCGATGTCTGTCGGCATATTGAGATATTATAGAACTCTGTGACGCTCAGAAGGTAGTCATTTTGATTAGTGACCAAGACCTGTAAAATCATTTTAACTGTTCGAACTCTTCATCTATGTAATATTAACATCTTAAATGTGCTGCCCGTTGCCAAGAGACAGAAATAAAATGTAGCATCACGAATATTACTACATAACATGTTTCTTACACTTTCTGATTTTCTGACTTTATAAGAAAACAGTTCTTGATATTCTAAACAAGGGGGTATTTTCAGTTATGATATATATATGGTATTGCACAGATTATTATACCACTCGTCAAGGAATGTTACATCACCCCTCTGTGTGGGTGATACAAGTATGCAGTATTAACCATTAAACAAGGAGTATGTGATACACAAACCGAGTTGAGGAACATGTAACATCTTACCTAACATCCGTACGGCCAACTGTCAATGGAGTGGAAATGACAGGAGACGCCCTTCATGAGTCACGTGACCAGTGCTTGCAGGACGTGTTGAATGGCCTACACTTGTCAACACTTGAACAACAAACACTTTTTAGTGGCGTTGTAAATCTCCTTTAGCAATTACAACTGCGGATATAATGTGATCGTCAGCTGTGTTGTCTGTAAACCAGTACCTCCTGGAAATCACAAAACACTAAGGTGATCATAAGTCACTAAGGTAACCTTAGTGCAATGTTAAAGAATGGGGTTAAGGTTAACCCGAGAAACATGCGTGCTGGGGAGATGAGGTGCAGCTGTCCTTTATAAGTATTGATTACAACGTTAAATTAGTACATAAAGTCATTGGTGGCGTCGTTGGCTAGGGTTTACCGCCGCACCCATTGTATGGGTGTCATATTGTACGGAACTGTCCTTTCTCGTGACGGGGTCATAGTTATTCAACCATTTATATATACTAGTATACCACGCAGCAATATTTCCAGTTATGTGACGCTGGTCTGTAAATATTCGAGTCAGGACCAGACAATCCATTGATCAACAGCATGAGCATCGATCTACGCAACTGGGATACGATGACGTATGTGAACCAAGTCAACGAGTCTAGACTACCCGATCCCGTTAGTACCCGATCCCGTTAGTCCCCTTTTACGACAAGCATGCATATGGGTTACTGAGGATCAATTCTAACCCTGACCCTCACGGCCATTGCTCACGTAGACGAAGTCGCGAATGTCGTGAAAACATAGCGAGGCAAAGATTCCAAGAATCCTCTGTTCGCCCTCGATATATACGCAGGTATGTCTTTACCAGACTTGTGTGCTTTGGTTTCAACTACTGCAAGTTCAACTTTGACCCGTGAGGAAAATAGGAGAATATTGTGCCCTGTTCAATGATGTGTTCAGTCTGTGCCAAATTGTTTGGAGTGACTTGTGGCAAGATTAGACATTGTGTCGTGATGAGAATCGTTAGGGCTTCCAATCTGCACATGATAAACTGGGCCCCGTTCCTCAAAGCGATCGTAGCGCTACGACGATCGTAAGTCCCATACTTTAACATAGACTTAAGACTGTCGTAGCTCTACGATCGCTTTGAGGAACAGGGCCCTGGACGTATAGTTGAGAGCCGACGTGTGTGTGCGTGCGCATGCGTGTGAGCGTGCGTTTCGGCTCAGCACTTCCGGTGTCCATTGTTTACAGTTGTTACTGAAAGGTCTAGTTGATAGATCCTAGCTGATGATACTTTGCTGTCGGACATGTGACAAGGGGCAGGGACACTCCCAATGACAGATATTACTTATCCTGGGTTGCCATGACGATGTATAGAGTGCGGAAGGAAAATAATTGACGTCTGACCCCTGTTGGCGAGTATTTTATTACGAATTACGAATTTTGCCGACACCTCCACTTCTGTGTTACAACACCATTCTAGAAATTCAAACGTATCAAAAAGCAAATCGTATTCGTGTGTAATTAATGCGAATAAATCACTTGAAGCTCTGGGAACTATTTCATTAATTCATAATAGTTTCCCTAAAATAGTAAGTTCACCAAATAGTTTCAAAAGCTATGATCGTGCATATATTTTTCTTATGTCATTTAGGGCAGTGGGGTAGCCAAGAGGTTAAAGCGTTCGTTCGTCACACCGAAGATCCGGGTTTGATTCCCTATATTGGTAAAATGTGTGAAGCCCATTTCTGGTGTCCCCTGCCGTGATACTGCTGGAATGTTGCTAAAAGCGGCGTAAAACCAAACTCACTCACTCTTAAGACTGCACTGAGCAGAAATGATAAGCATATGGACACTGCTTGTCATTTTTCTCGAAAGTAATGCTTCTTGCCCATTTCATGCAATTGGATCAAGAACCTGGTTACGTTTCTTGGACCATTTCAACTCACTCTTTCCCTGGTTCAAACCCAACAATTCATTTTCAAGATTCCCAATAAAAAAATAATTTCACAATAACTGTGCCTCTGGGTTTAGTTGGCTGGCGTACCAAGGGACCGAACTCCGCGCAACGAAGTGCAATGTCTGAGACGAATTCCTCAGACCTTCCATGCTCCAAGACGTCATCTGAGAGTGAGGAGGCAATAAACTACGTCAGTGATTACTGTCAGGCAATACTGAGACAACGCTGCTGTGAGTGATGGCAGCCTCGGGAATCCGCTTAACTCCCAGTCCGTAGATCCCCCCTCGACCTCCCCACCACGGTAACGTCGTCCTCTCACGACCGAGCTCTGTCTACAATACATATGTGTAAGGCGTTGTGCGCGCAGAGAAATGAAATAACCCGTTGTTTCACAACACACGCTAGATTCCGATTGCTCACGACTTGGACATATTGTTATCGACCAGCATCTGAACATTGTCTCCTGAGGGGTGACACCAGCAGGTGCGCGATGCCGCTCCCCGGGCTGCCTCCAAGTCCTCCTTCTCCACCACACGTACCTCCTCCTGAGCAGTATCCGCACCCCTCACAGGCGAGTCTTAGAAGCCTAGGGTCCAAACAACAGAGTTTTGCAAGGTCAGTGACTTAAAATGTTTAAATTTTACATACTGAGTTTCCTTTCGCGTCAACCTTCGCATCTAGCGTGTCACAAAGAGGTATGTGCGCTCTTCTTATATTCTTCTTTATATGTTAGAGAATCAGTTTCCCTTAAAAGTTTTAAATCCCATATAAGCTCGCGTAAGTCAAAAGCACCAGGATATTTCTCATTTGGTAATAGAAAACTCAATGTAATTAATACCCAGCTAAGATATTCGAATAGTAGATTAAATGGTGATCTATATAGGATCGGTCTCATAGGAACCCAGAATGTAATTGTAAATTTACCTGTGAAAATTCTCAACATTATTTTATGGAATGTTCTTTGTGTATTCTGTTATCAGACAGGAAATGATTATAAAATATTAGCAGAATTTGTAACATTAAAGCACCAACAAACCTAGACGTACTATTAAATGGCAGTGCAGATCTTCCGTATAGTGACAATATTCACATTTTTAGAGAATTTCAAAAATATATATCAAATTCCAAAAGGTTCAGTGATTGGATATAATGTGTATGATCTAAATAATTCATGTATTCATTGTATTGTATATATCATTTTGTATATATCTTTCTATCCCTGTACATATAGTTTGTTTCACTTTTGCATGTAAGCACTGTAAATAGGAGAGGGTTTCACTAAGTTGGCATAACTTGTACCCAATCCATTCTCTTGAATAAATATGTTTAAATCAAAATCAAATCTTCTTATACCTCCATAAAACTCAACTTTGGACGCACAAAACCACGCTGACCCCGATGGTACTGCTGACTCTTACCGTGTTTCAACCCTAGTTATTAAAGGACTAAAAACGAATTAAAAGTGTCAGAAAGCAGCAGTTCGATTGAGCTAAGGTTATCACGTGACTTTGACTCAGGAACGCTTTTTATTAGAAGCAGGGTGCTCCAAGGCTGTACTGAATGCTTAGCCCATGGATGTATAGTAATTCAAACTCCCAGAGAGGCAAGTCTTTATAAGCGGACAATACAAACAAGTAAGGACGCCAGTATGTTTGAGGGAATATATATATGTTTTAGAAATTATCATTTAAACTATTAATCATTCAGTATAGAATTCTGCAAGTCTAGTTACAAGGGATTTATTGAAGAAATGCATTTCCCTGCCGAGAGGGCAGATAGTTATTGTGCAATGATATTTTGAATCAATCACGCCTCAACATTCCAACGTCACGATATGGCTGAAATATTGCCGATGTGACGTTAAATATTAACTCACTCACTCACTCAGCATTCTAACATGGTGGTGTGGTTATTATTTGATCGTCAGTTTAGATTTGATCGTCATTAATGTAGTAAGTAATTTACGTATATATTCATAATAGGACATTGGACCACAGTTCCGTGAAGATCCGGATTAAAATTGGTCTTCAGTAACCCATGCCTTTCATAAGAGGTGACTAACGGGATCGGGTGGTCAGATTCGCTGACTTGGTTGACACATGTCATCGTATCCCAATTGCGTTGATCGATGCTGTTGATCACTGGATTGTCTGGTCCAGACCGCCGCCATATAGCTGCAATATTGCTGAGTGAGGAGTAAAGTAAACTTGACTCACTCACTCACTTGCATCTCATTAGCGGCAGCTGTGTGTAGCCTAAAGAAGAGATGTGACATTAAGCAGTCGATTGTCACTGCAATTCGGAAATATTTGACTTGACGTTTAGCATGTATTTAACTGTATCTTGTCTACTAGTCTGTCTCACAGTCCCCGAACTACATTATTTATCCCTCTGCCCAACCTTTCTGATGAAGCAGGCCACCAAGCGGACACATCCAGTTTTGGGGACATAATATTTCAGTCTTGTCAGAGGTTACACCTGTTTTATTTGGGATTACACTTTTTCAGTAAAGTACAGATTTTAATGTTTTGTCGGGTTGAGACTCATCACACTCAAGAGTCTGGCACCTAATCGCCAGCACACAAAGTCAGCCGTCTAACCCACTCAGCCACCACAGCTTCCACAACAGTGGACTGACTGACTGACACCAGAAATGGGCTTCACTCATTGTACCCATGTGGGGATTCGAACCCGGGTCTTCGGCGTGACGAGCCAATCCACAACAGTGGAAGTCGGACTACTGGGAATCTGGACCTCAGACTGTATTGCACCCCTCTGATGAGGAGTAAACTGGCAGGGTGGACAGCTATGGACATACAATGTCATTTAGGAAATGGTCAGATGTAACACATATTATATTTGGGAGTACGTTTTCTCAGAATTGTGTGTTCTTGTCAGATGTTCGCGATGGGACAGGCGATGGGGCACCCATGGTTCGAAGCTGAACAGATGTTTAGTATGTTTTCCTTCCTGAGAATATTTTGCTTCATAACTGTAATGGATTTAGGACTTTCGTAGGAGCTTCGAGCCTGGTTGTCCACACCCAGTTTACTAATAAACGACAAAAGGCGACGTAGAACGAGTAACTTGTGAGTGAGTGAGTTTAGTTTTACGCCGCATTTAGCAATTGTCCAGAAATATCACCAGAAATGGGAAATGGGCTTTACATTGTACCCACGTGGGGCCTCGAACCTGGACCATTGGCGTGACGAGCGAACACTTTAACCACTAGGCTACCCCATCGCCCCTTGACTTGAGACGAGAAATAATTGTATTACACAGTGAAGTCTCGGGCTGTTCTCGTTACATGTGACCGTCACCGTGGTGTAGTGGCTAGAGCGTCCGCCCGGAGAGCGGAAGGTCGCGGGTTCGATCCCCGACCGCGTCATACCAAAGTCGTTAAAATATGGTACTTGTTGGTCCCTACCTGGCGCTCGGCATTAACAAGGACTGGTCGGCTCCGGAGTCAGTATAATGTGTCTGAGTGGGGTATTCATGCTTCACTGCGGCATGGTATCTCAGTGGGCAAGCACTATAAAACCAGCTTCAGTCTGGGCTGAGTACAAGCAGCCGCACATACACAAACACACGCATGCACGTCGTCATATGAGCGAAATATTCTCAAGCACGACGTTAAACCTAATTTCACCTCACCTCACCTCGTTTCATGTCGACAAGACGTTTGACACAAGACAAATGTCACGTTTTTCTGGATTTGATGTCACTTTGAATTGTAACGGTACAACACTTCTCTGATTACGTGAAACTCTCACCACTCTCCCCACCCTCATGTCCTGTGAC